CAGCAAACAATCACACAAATGCACACATACCCATCTTTTGGCTTCAGTAAATCCATGGTGAAATTCTGGATTGTTTTATATGATGGACCACCCCATGGTGGTGAAACAAATACTACATCCCCCTAAAAACAGAAAAGAAAGTTGAATTAAGATTGGAACTACTTAAGATCAGCTAGAAAGTCCTATTCACCCCACATATTAAAATTCTGCAAGGAAAAAGAAAATATAACCCAATCCCTATGGTGAAAAGAAATTTAAAAAAAAAATCAAAACACTACTCAAATACTTTAACTTAAGTATTGCAGATGCAAAACTTCTTAAGTTCTGTCAAAACTCTGTAAAGCTGATAAAAGATGTTATTATTGAGAATGTGTCTACAAACATCAATTTAAGGGGAAAAGAAAAAACACTTAATTAGTTAAGTTCAACCCTAACATAAACATTATCCAGAATTGGCAGCAGTAATGAAAACAGAAGAAAGTACCTTCAAGTATGGAGCAAGTTGGAAAAAGTCTCCAATAATAAAATCAATATAATCTTCCACTCCATATATACTTGCATTGTTGGAAGCCATTACAACTTTTTGAGGGTCAATGTCTATAGCAACAACAAATTGGCACCTAAAAATGTAAACTTTTCATTAGGAGACTCCCATATGGCAAAGCAGTATAGAGTTGATAAGGATAGAATGAAAGTATAATATGAGTTCAAGCAAATATACAACCACAAGTCAGTTGTCATGATAACCAAAATTCAAAAATACTCGTGTACAATATAAAGAGTTTCAGATGTTCAATTGGAAGGCCACCTGGATGAAAAAACAATGGTGCCTTCTTATTGTACTAAAACAAAAGAAGTTCAATTGGAAACTCTCATAAGAATATTGTCAAACCATTCTAATAAACATCTCTTTCCCATTTCGTAGTATAAGAAATTTATTCTAGTATCTGAAATGGACTAACAAGTTAGTTCAATCCAAGCAACTAATTTTCCCACTGAACAATGCATATACTAAGAGTCTAGGAGGTGCCTGATAGCCTAACACTGTAATTAGTACAAGGGCATGGAAAATGGAAAGGAAGGAAGTTTGATTAAGAAGGAAAAGGAAAGGAAAGAAAACAACTTATATTTCGTATACAAAGGAAATTTTAATTTACCTCACAACTCTATCCTTATACCTGATATGCAGACTCCAGATAAGGATAAAATAGTAACTTTGAATGCTAAGAATAGTGGCTGTAAACAAGTTTCTCCGGTCCCTCCAACCAAAAACAGTGTAAAAGATAATGTAACCAAGTGCATTCCATTAAACTATCCCAGTCCACCTCAGGTACCCACAGAATAAAAGAATCTAAACACAACCAAAATGTCAAGAAAATTCATGAACTAGATAATAGCAACTTGCAAGTAAGCAGTCCAATGTTACCTAAATCTATTCCAGTTATTAAGGACAATAGGAAACTCCTAATCACCAAAACTTATTATAACCTATACAACAACAAATACCACAAATTAACTTTTATTGAAAAAGCAAGTAGCTGAAGTCTCACTCTCCAGTTACATTCAGCAGGAGGGACTTACAATCTAGCAAATTGGATGGCATT